ATGATGGGAGCTGATTGCCATGTCATTAGAGGGTTAGAGCTCCCTCTAGGAAGGGGAGAGGAAATGAAGGTTGAATTGATCACTTCCTGTCTTAGTCCATTCAGGCTGGTATAACAAAATATCTTGCTGGTGGAGGAAGAAGATGAAGGAGGAGAAGGAGAAAAATAAGAAGAAAAGAGGGATGAGAAGGGAGACAAAGAAAGAGAAGGAGGAGGAGAAAGAAGAAGAAAAGGAAGAGTGGGAGAGGAAGGAGGATAAGATGAAGATGACAAGGAGGAGGAAAAATAGAATCGTAAGAGACGTTAACAAATGACTCTCTAAGTGACAACATTATAGTAACTTTTACTGTTTTTTATTTTCAAGATTTCCAAAATATCATTAACTATATCTTAACTTGTACTTTATAAAATTAAGAGTATATAACAAAGCTGAAACCCCAAATTTTGTGAAAAGCATGATGCATAGGAGTCAAAACCTGCTATTAGGAAAAAAAAAATAGGGACAAAGCCCCAAGCATTACATGAGGTTAGTGTTGGTTGTTTTCTGATGAACACAACACAGAAGAACGTGAGTATCAGGCTTAAGGCTCTGCCCTTACTTTCAGTAATAGGGGACAAGAAAATGTCTGCATCGAAGAATCAAGGTTAAGCATAAAGAGGCTTCCTTTTAAGGAATTCTGTGGGCTCGGCATGGCCACTGCATCCCCAGCAAGATCCCTTTATTTAGTCTCAAGGCATGGAAGTGTCAAACTGTAAGTTACCCATAGTGTAGTACCACTCAGACCAAATTTAAACCAGGAAGCATAGTGTACTTAAAGCAAGTAAGCATTACTCTGAAGGTGATTGTCCTATAGACAGAAGACATGTTGTTTTGCTACCTTTTCCCCACAAATTACTGTGGTCCTGTATATCAGTTGGAGAGAATGGCACTATTCATTTAGGACAAGTATGAAGAAAATAATTGTTAAATTGTTAAATCCGTAGCTTTGGCACGCACCCAAAGAACTGTGCTTTTACACAAATGAACACGAATGAATACAATTTTTGAAAACGGAGCATTCTTACTCCAAGGTAGTGTGTTAGTAGGAAACTTAGATGATCCTGATTGTACTTCAACAAAGGCATGAGTGCCAGGCAGATGCCGTTCCAACTGCTCTGTGTGGTCTGACAACTGGTTGAGGTTCCACTGGCATTCATTTGAGATGGTCACCTGGGAAACCTAAATTAACACCATCCTTTATCGGGTAGCCACTTTGGGTTTGAACCAAAGAAAGATGAGCTTGAAAGGTGTGGAGCCTACAGTAGTGTTACTTGAAAAAGACCTTGTCTTTGATCTAGTTTTGTTGGCACAAGAAAATAAGCATATTTCTTGTTAGATCTCTCTTTACACTGGCTATCAGGAGGATAGTTAAACTCCTCATGCAGCACGACAGAGATTTTTTTCAGACATATTTCAGATAGCTGAGATTTCTTTCTTTGACACACACACACAAACAAGTACACAAAGCATATACTTGTATATATTTTAATTTTATAATTTTGATTGCTATTATGTTAAATCTTGGAAAATTTTCAAAAAGCATTTTAAATTATTTAGCTGTTATTTTTGTTTTAATACTCGTATTAAACGATTTCTGTTGGAAACACATTTTCTTATCTCCAAAGATAGCATACACTTAGTCAATGTTTCTTATCTTCTTGGTCATCTTCTCCTCTTCCAAATGTTGAACTCTCCCAAGGCCCCATTCCTGACACCTGTTTTTCCTCCAGCTCTTCTGTCTCTGCAGACAATGTTATCTATTCCCATGGTTGTGTATAGTGTTTGTATCAGGATGACTCCAAATTCTTATCTCTTGCTCTGACTTCTCCTCCAAATTCCTAAATCCTAAATCTAACTGGCTAATTCATATCTACATTTGGATGCCTACAATGCAACTCAAAATCAGCACATCCAAAATAAAGCTATTGGTTCTAGATCCCACACAAACTCCAACTCTTTTCTTCAGTGTCTGTGTCTCAATGAACAGCATGTGCACCCAGGTATATACACGTGATTCCTGTCTTTCCCTCATCCTACATCCATTAACAGGCTGTATTAATAACTCTTGTCAGTTCTGGTTTTACATTATATTCCACATCTGTTCAATTTTCTTCATTTCTTCTAGGGTCACCTTATTCCATGCAGTCATCATCTTGCATCTTCATTCTTGCAAGAATTTCTTAAGTGGTCTTCCAGCCACCATTAGCTGAAAACCGCCATACTTTGTGTTATAAAATATTATTCCTTTGATCAAAACTCTCCGGCACTTCCAAACATACTTTAAAATGGAAGTGAAACTCTTACCTAGCCAAGAAGTTCTTATGTGACTAGGGCTTATGCCCTTCTGCAACCTCATTGCCTCTCACTCTCTTCTCAATCATGATTGCTTCAGTTCTGTTAGCTGAATGTTTCCGTTCCTTAAACACTCAAAGCTAACACTCAGGCCTAAACACTTAGGCTAAACACTCAGGCCTACAGCCTGTTTTAGAAGCTGCGCCCTCTGCCTGGAATAATCTTCCCCAGTATCTTCACATGTCTGAGTTCTTCTCATCTTTTAGATTGCAGTTTATATATCTACTCAAAAATAAATAAATAAATAAATAAATAAAGCCAGCCCTGATACTACAAAATGAAGCCATCTACCAGTCAGTCTTCCTAACATTTACCTGATGTATTTTTTTCATGCAACTTATTACTTACTATTTACTTGACTTTGAATAAGTCATCTTTTTACATTTTATGTTCTAGGCCTTTAAAAAGAGCGTATTTCATGAAGTTGATTTCAGTATTAAAGGAGTTAATACACATCAAGTGCTGAGAGTAAATATTCACAGAAGCAATCAATTTATTCTTCCACACAGCAGTCAGTAAATGTTGGACTAGTATTAACTATCATATTATTCAGAATATGAACTAACTTGTTTTAAATCACAGATGATAATTAAATATTAATTCTGCCATTAAGTGCCCATATCCAATTTTCAAATCATCATTGTTGCCTTCACACTCAAGCAGGTCAGATGGCCAAAGCTTAAAAGTATATAGCTAAAATTACTACACAATGACACTATAACCATTCTTGCACATGTCTTTGGTAAACACAAGTACCCACTTACGTTGGATATTTACCTAGGAATGAAAATACTGGGTCATAGAGCATGCATGTATTCAGCTTGTAGATACTTCTGAACAGTTTCCCAAAGTTCTGTTTCCAAAATACATACTTATACTATATTTTAGGTATAGTCAAAAGCTTTTCAAGTTAAGCTATCACAAAAAGGTAATTATCCCAGAATATAATCCATATGACAAAACATACTCCTATTAGCTCAAAAGATTATTATAATTAGAAAGAAATGTATCAGCATAAAAATGATATAGGAATTACAAATTACTTATCACTCTACATTTGTAATGCATATATCACTGTTTGGAATATCTCATTATTTTAATTGCAACCAATTACTCCAGTTGAAAGAGTCACAGCAAGCAGTATTATATATTTTAGGAATAAATTGAATATATCATCCAATATCTCATCCTAACATCCTACTTTTTCATTTATTAAAGTGTCAAAGTTCACATTAACGCTCATAAGAATTTTGAATCCACATAAATATATAATTAAGCTGAAGGTGAATATCTTTCAGGTGGATTTACCAGCAAGTATGAATGTTAAAATGATAGCTAACATACATTTCTACTTTTAATTTATTCAGTGCAGTAATGATACTGCTACAATACTCACATTGTTGTGTCATCTATAATGTTTAAAGATAATTAACATGAAGATGATGTTCTATAATTGCTTTATTGGTTTTTTTATTGTGTGTGAATCTAATATTGCCTCGCTATTGACTCTCTATATAAACAAATTATTTTCCAATTTCTTACAGTAGACAAATATGCTTATTCAATAAGAGAAAAAAGAAATGAATATATTGAAAACAATTTTGAATAATATATTATATCTTAAGACACAACTTCAAAGATTGTGACATAAAAATTGAATCTAATAATGTGCCTTTCTAGTGGACTTTACTATCAAAATAAAAATTCTTAGAGTTAACCTTTTGTGGTTTGGAGATAACACTATTATAAACTTTGTTACTTTGTTGTATTTTTTTTAGACTCTTTCCCCAGTCTACGGACACAACGTATTTAATCTGAGTTGTATGTGATGTGTGGTGTGGTTAATTTGTTGTCCCGGTTCATGTAAAGTGTGTTAATTATTTTTAATTTGGCATTTCATTTTCACGGACTAATCAGATTCTAACTGTAGAAATTGACAACTTGTGGCTAAATTCATTCTCTTCTTGTGTTTCCAACTGTGTTTTCACTGGGCTTCTCCTTTGTGCCATTTTTTTGTACATCTTTTGATTTGGTCTTATTAATTTACCTAGATGAAGAAGTAAATCCTACAAAAGTACAAATACATTTATCACGGTCTTTATATTGGGAGAACTAACCAATTGAGTTTCATTTTTTGGAATTTGTGTTTTTCTTATCCAATATGGATTTAGAAGTGGATAGAAAATAAACCCATTTGGAACATATATGAAGCCCATTGTTGGTCTAAACTTCCTCACAGGTTACTTGAGTCCTGATCCATCACAAATACAAACACATTTAAAAACATAAAGCATTATTATGATGGAATCAAAATACCATGACTAAATCCATTTTCCCATCACAATGTCATTTCTTAGATGAATACAAACAATGTTCATATTAAATAGCCATTTCTATCATGGATATGAGTTTCTGGTGTCTTGTCTTTGCATAATAAAAAGATCTCATTTTTACATAAGCAAAATGAGCACCGTAACATTGCATAATTTATGTTTGTATCTTGGCTTTGCTGAGAGTTAGATAGAATGGAAGGAAGAAGGGCATCGAAACTAGGCAAATGTGAGTTCTAAACCAAGCTCTGACATGTGTCTTCAAGTTGATCACCATACCTTTCTGAGCTGTGGTTCCATCTTATGTAGGATGGAGACAACAATACCTGGAAAAAATAATTGTAAGGCACTTAGCAGACCATAAGGTGAGTTGTCCCTCGAAATGCTTGTAGCAATTTACAATCTTCCATTACCATTTGATAATTCCACTGAATTCTCTACCCTACTGCCCATATCCAACCAGCTGTTAAGCTGTTGCTATCTGATCTGAAATAAAGTCAAGAGTAGCTGTATGGCTTTGAATGCCCAGGTGGCAAGGTAGTATATTAGTCAGTTATGGCTGCTATAATGAAATATCATAAACTGGGTGGCTTATAAACAGCAGACATTTATTGCTCACAGTTTTGGAGGCTGGAACTCCAAGATCAAGGCATGGCAGATTCTGTGTCTGCTGAACGAACTTCCTGGTTCACAGAGATGGTGCCTTCTTGCTATGCCCTCACAAGGTGGAAGGGGCAAGGGAGTTCTCTGGGATCCCTCTTATAAGGGCACTAATCTAATTAATGAAGGCTTTACCATCATGACCTAATCACCTCTCAAAGCCCCCAACTCCTAATACCATCTGGTGGAGTTAGGATTTTCTTTTTCTTGTCTTTATTGTTTTTTGTTGCTGTTGTTGTTTCTTTGAGACAGGGTTTCTCGGTTGCCCAGCTTGGAGGGCAGTACCAAGATCATGGCTCACTGCAGCCTCGACCTCCCATGCTCAAGTGATCTTCCTGCCTCAGCCCCCCAAGTAGCTGGGACTGCAGGCATGCGCCACCTCGCCTGGGTAATTTTTGTATTTGTAGTAGAGGCAGAGTTTCACCATGTTGCCCAGGCTGGTCTTGAACTCCAGAGCTCAAGCGATCCACCCACCTTGGCCTCCCAAAGTGTTGGGATTACAGACATGAGCCACTGCACCCAGCCAGAGGTTAGGATTTCAAGAAAGGAATTTTGGTGACATAAACATTCAGTCTGCTGCAGTGGGTGATAAAAGATGATGCTGACAGTCTTGCAGGGTCTATTTTATAGAGACCCCAAGTGTCATATTTAATTAAAGCTAGTCTTTACTCTAAAGGGCAAAGGCCTTTGAATGTGCTCTTCTTTTGTCTGGATGTTCTGCTATTGTATATTCATCCATTTTCTCCCTATTCTCCTCTCTGGATTATCACATACATAATGTCAACTCCTATTTCAAGGAAACACATCTTTTCCAAGATAGAAGCTTTTTAAAAAAAAAAAATTTCTGCCACATTTCATCTGCTCCCTTTCAGATTCCTGGTTTCTGATAGATGCTACTTTCTTCATGAAGTTTGACTTCCACCTGTAATTGATTTAGGAACTGTATTAGTCCATTCTCACACTGCTATGAAGAACTACCTGAGACTTGGTTATTTATGAAGAAAAAAGGTTTAATTGACACACAATTCCACAGGCTGTAAAGGAAGCATGGCTGGGAGCCCTCATAAAACTTACAACCATGGAGAAGGGCGAAGGGAAGCAAGCATGTCTTACCATGGCAGAGGAGGAGACAGAGAGAGATAGAGCAAAGGCAGAAGTGCTACACAGTTTTAAACAACCATATCTTACAAGAACTCATCACTATCATAAGAACAGCAAGGGGAAATCCACTCTCAAGATCCAATCATCTTCCACCAGGCCCCCTTCCCCACATTGGGAATTACAATTTAATATGATATTTGGGCAAGAATACAGAGCCAAACCATATCAGGGATCTTTCAGGTAAACTCACATGTACTTACGTCTTCAGACACTCATCATACTACGTTGTAGTAGCTTTTGAAAATATGTCTGTTTCCCCCCATATGACTGCCATCGCAATAAAGACAGGGATGGCTTTGCCATTGCTCACCATCATATTCCCATAATTCTACCATCTCTCCAGTTAGTTCTCCTCATTGTTCTCGCTTCCAAGACCCCAGTCCCACCAGCCTTGGACTTTCTCTTGACTAATTTACTCTCCTGTTTGAGGACTCAAGTATCATTCTTTATAGGTACAAGCCCTGACAAATACTGATTGAATGACACAAGCAAGTGAGAACTATTATATATAAAGGATACAGAGACATGTTGGCCACACCTGGCACAAGCCCTGGTCACAACATAGTCTACAGTTGTTTCTGTGTCATTGCTGCTTAGAATTCATTTCATTTTTCTTCCATTTCCTTTTCAGTGAGTTTTCTAGTTTCCCCCAAAAGACTTATTTAATCATGGACATTGGAGTACTTAATTAATTTCCATTGAGCATGGTTTCAAAATATCTAACACTTACACGCAGGGTCCACTGCTTTCTTTCACTGACTTCCCTGGTGAATATTGAGCTATTTACCCACAGAGCAGGAAATACACATGGTCTCATTAATCTCTACTCTGCCTAACCCAAACCTACTCCCCTGCAAACTCAATGTGAAACAGATTGAGTATCCACTCTCATATATTATTTAGAGAGTACCATTGATTTATACATTTCCTCAGTCAGAAGGGTAGTGATTCCTTGGCCCCATACTCAATTTAACTGCAGGGAAAGTTTCTATTTATTGAGAATACCTTTTCCCAATGCATACAACTATTACAGGGGGGTTCATCTGGTTTAGCCACAAAATAACTCTCTGCAGGTATAACAATCTGAAACATATGAGGACTATTTTGGGAATATTGTCTAAGAATAGGGTAATAGTTCAAAATAAATTGCAACAATTATTAAAGTGAAAACACTTACCCTAAGTCAGAAATCATGCTATTACCAATGTGAAGAAATTTAAAGGCAATATGAACCGTATCTCCAGACTTTTCAACAATAATGATAAACAAAGACACAGGATTCATTCAGAACTACCACTCAGTCTCTAAATATTTTTTCTATTAGAGAAGTGCCTATTTCTTGCTAAGCAGTTCACAGCACACCTTTATTACTGTTTTCTTGTGTGCATATCTTAACTGTTGATATTAGCTCACCTAACTTCCTAAAATTACATGAACACTCAAAATATCTCCTCATACTTTATGTTTTTGTTTAATTTTTTTAAAAAATAAAATATAGTTTAGAGAAAAAAATACCTTAGTGCCAAAATCTTAAAACCTTTGGTAAAAAAAGGGCTAACAGCAGTTTAGGAATTCTTTTTCTTGTTTACTGGGGACGCCAAGGAAAAGAAAGAAAGATGACTTGGGCAATTTACCTGTAAGCTTGCAAATGTCAGACCTCTTGGAAAACACTCTAATTTTATCTCCTAGTGGGAGATACCATTACAAAGTTTTTACAATCCACTTTTAGCAGACTGTTGTAACTGGTCTGGTTAGTATTGTTTATAGACTTAGGGATATAGATTTCTGAAAAATGTTACATAAGCTGTGTAATTGAGTCTACTTGGAAATGTCTCATGAAAGAAGCATCTCCCTTCTGCATAAGGGGTGCTCCCACAAGCACTGCTTAGAGAACTCATAGTTGGAACCCAGGGTCAGAACGTGTCCTAATGAAAGAAGAAAGGATTCAAGTAGGAGTGTGGATGGTCCCAGACTTTGCTTTGGCTGTGTGAAATTATTAGTAGCATTTGACACTGGGCAAGATTTCAGAGTGAGGCTCATTCAATAGTCCAATATGTCTAAGCTCTATGCTGATTTTATTTTAGAAGACGTTCCTTACCTTTGTCCCTAAACATATATTTTATACTTTAATATTTTATGCCATAACATTCACTATCTTTGTCATATTTATTTGTAAAGATGGAAGGCTCAAAATTAATGCACTAAGCATCTAACATCAGAAGAAAAAAAGAAGAAATAGTAGAGATATACTCCTTTAAGGATAGCTTTTCTCTTTCCTCTGAGTCTCTTTTTTTAATCTCTTTTTTGTTTGCCTTAGTCTATATATCATGTTAAAACCTATGTCAACTATTTGGTCTTTCTGGACTGCTCAATCCATGTTGAGAGTGACACTAAAATGTCAATTGGTAGCTCTTGTTTTCTAATGGTGACCTTTACAGTACAATAACTCACTAGAGACCTTGCTATTTCACTGGGTGACCATCACTCTCAGCATCTGATTTTTTTTTTTTTACTTTGGGTTGGTCAATTTCTTGAGAGAGGAGTTCTGGCTGTCAGCAGTTGGTGAACAAGAGGAAAAAAAACCAACTAATGATTGTGTATAAAGAATTTAACCTAATTCAGACTTGCAAGGTTAAGAACGTTTACTTTGAAAAAAAATCAATAATGTTGATATGGAATTTTGCAATAAAATGCTTGAGGGTGGGAGCCAATAAAGCAATTCCTTCAAAAAACTATGTGAAAGTTATTCTCCACCTAGAACATTATACAATGCCAGGTAAAGTCACCAATCAAATGTGAGCATACAATACAAATATCCTCACATATTTAAAGTCTGAAAAATGTATCATCTTTTCTGAGGAAATTACTAAAGGGAGTGATTTACCAAAACAGAAAAGGACTGAGAGTAAAGAAGTAGTAGTGGCAACACAAGAGAGAAACTAAATAAATTACAGGAGCAATGGAGATAAGAAATTCCAATATCAAAGCTATGCAGCATGTCCAGAGGGAATGAGTTCAGTGGTTCAAGAACATACAGATGTTTCTGGTTATTTTGAAAACAGGCATATATTTCTGTGGGAGAGTCAGAGACAATTCAAGAAAAGTTACATAAAAATTAGACAAGTAAACAAAAGGCAATTACTAACTCCAAGGAAAACCAAAGAGATGTATTAGAAGGGAATACAATCATTGTTCATCATATGGTTTGACTGTGAATAACTGAAATATAGTGTTAATAACATAAACAAAGTATACTTGATTTAGCCAATTCCTGTGTTCATTATAGGTGGAGAGGAAGTGAAAGAAGTAAAATGGTAGTGGAAGTGATAAAAGAGATAAATCAATAAGTAATAGGTGGATAGTATCTAAATCCAAAAAACAAACAAACAAACAAAAACATAAGCTTGCTATTTAAAAAAAGGAAGTAAATATCTTCAGAAAACAACTAAAATAGTTAAAAATGCATGTATTTGCAATGCCAGAAATGGAGAAGAGTGATGGAAAG